CCGAGGCGAAGAAGCATGCATGCGAGCACAGGACTTCTTGGCTGGAGGCTTCCTTCCTGCGCCACCATCTCAGGGACCTGGGGCCCAACGCCGATCTCCAAAGGCTTGCAAAAGTCACTTCAGTAAGTCCTTGGACTCTCCCGAGATCCTGGCCATGCTCGTCGTGGTGAGGGCGGACAGGTGGGGCGGAGGTGGCATTTGACAGATAGTGCAAGGGCAAGGCAAGCCTGCCCAGTGCTGGAAGCCACTGCCAAGCTGGAGGGCGGGAGGAGTAGAGGGAGTCTTGAGTAAAGAGTGAGGGGGTCTGATGGTGCCAATCCCGGGCAGGGAGGCGGACAGGGAGGTGGAGGTGTTGGCGGAGGACAAGGCACTGCCGAGGATGGGGTGCACCTGGTGCACGGTGCTGGCTGCGTGCGCCGGGTGCCCGGCGGAGTGCCCCACCGTCCCGCAGTGGAAAGCGGAGTGGTGCCCGCCGTAGATCTCCCCCACCAGCCTCTTCATCTCCTCCAGGGAGCTGGTGAGCATCAGGATGTAGTTTCTGGCCAGCAGGAGCGTGGCGATTTTGGAGAGCTTTCTCACGGACGGGCCGTGAGCGTAGGGCATCACCTCCCTCAGCCCGTCCATGGCCAGGTTGAGGTCGTGCATCCTTTTGCGCTCCCGCCCGTTGATCTTCAGCCTCAGCTGCTGCAGATCCTGCTCCGAGAGCTGCTTCTTGATTTTGTACTTGCTGCCCTCCCCTCCTGCCTTGGAGCCATTTCTGGAGAGGCCCTCCCCGGACATCTTCTGCACCAGGTCGTTCTGGGTGGAGGAGACCGAGTTGAGCCTGCTGTCCTGGTGGTGGTGGTGGTGGTGGTGGTGATCCCTCAGGTACATCTCCTCCATATCTGGTGAGGAAGCTCTGCTGGAAACAGAGCTGGAGTCAGAATTCATTGTATTGGGGGTCCTGAGCCAGAAAAGTCTGCCCTGCTCTGGAGTGGGTGCAGTGGGCTTGCTCTTCTTAAAAACAACCAGAGAAACTGCAGGCTCTGGGAAGAAAAGACAAACACACGCGCACACACAAAGCTAGGAAACTCTCCCCTCGCCCCTAATCTTCCCCTGTCCTCCGCTCTCTGGTGATTCAGCCTGTTTACAGGAGAGCTGGTTGGTGTATGCTTGAACTAACCTCAGCCTGAAAAAGAGGGGCTTTTATAGAGCTGCAGCAGAGAAAAGAGACAAAAGGAGCCCTCCTATCTATAATGGTCTTGTTAGGATGACGTGCCATTATTCAGGGCGGTGCGCTTTGACTGTCCCATTTAGCAAGGACTCCTATTCATATGCATTGTGGTGCCACCCTGGGACACCTCAGCCATGGACCATCAGGAGTCAAGGAGACACAAAACCCCTCTGATTGACAACGCGCACTCATCGCTCCGTGTTCACGCTTTCTCCTCCCCCTGTTTCTAATTTCCAGTATAAAGCCGCATCTACTATACAGTAGAGAGAGCAAAGGGTCTGCTTGGGATGTGTATTTGCTTGGGGTAATTTTTCAGGCTAGCATCTCCTCGTTAGGTAACCTGGTGGGGGAAGTCCTGTTGGAGGACGGAAGGGGGTATGCCTTGCTTTGTTTATTATTCTCTCTCTCTGTCTCTCTTTTGCTGTGTTCTGCTCTCCCCAACCCCAAAAGAAAACAATAGTCTTAAGTTTTGAATTTCTTTCTCCGAGTATGGCCTTTCCCCCTTGCTTTTCGTTTTCCACCCATCTTGCTCATCTCGTTTGTCAGACCTGGGAGGAGCTGTGCAGGGCCCTTTTCAATTGCATTGTACCTGAACTGCCTGCCTCTGGTTGCTTTGTCTAAAAAAAGTAATTATTAGTGGCGTATCCGACCCACAAATAGCTTTCCCCTTAAAACCTCTTTTTAAAAAATACTTGGCTATGCATCTCTCTCTTTGCTATCGTTTTGCTTTTCCCTTGGCGAAACAAGGGGAGGCTGTTTAAGGAAAGCAATTAAAATAAATAGGAAACTTTGAATCTGTTTGCGTGACAAGGATTTTTTTTAAAATTTTGTTTTGGAGCTTTCAATTATTTTTCTTTCCTTTTCCTTTTCTTTTCTTTTCCTGGTTGATTTGGAAGGGTGGCAGCGGAAGATGATCAGACGGCAGGGAGAGCAGGTCGTATTTCCAGCTCTCAAAGTATTTTTTTTGGATTCACTGAGTAATGTAAGCTACTAAGGTGTTGGGGGAGGAGGGGGGTGGGGAGGAAGTCATCTGTGAATTGGACTGAGAGGCTGCACAAAAGAACTGGACAGAGGCAGGCAAACATCAAGCCAGCGAGGGAGAGAATATTGCAAGCGAAAGCTCAGGGAGGAAGGATCGGTGTTTGCTGTAGTAAGTAACCGGCTCCATGCACTGGTTTCAGCCTGCTCCTGGTAACAGATGCAGCTAGGGGGGGCTATGAATGTGCCGGGGTTGTCAGGGGCTGACAGTCTGCGTCTTTGCCGGGAAATGTTGTCTTCATGCCGCTCTGTGAGCACCGCCTGGGTGAAGTGCAATGCCAGTGGGCGCGGAGGCGACCTCTGCAGCTGAGCTCCAGCAATCTGGGGCGAGGGGCTTGGGCGGGGGGTGCCCTCCATCCTCCCGGGAAGGGACAGCAGGGCGCTGGGAGGGGGAGGGGCAGGATCCTGCCACCAACACGCCTGCTTGTGGAAACCGAGTGCAGTTTGGCCCACGTGAGACAAGGATTTGCACAGATCAAGGTGTTCCCAGAGGCGGTTCAGCCCCCGGGGTGGCCTGCGATTGATTTGTGTGTGCTCTTTACACGCTGATTGCGGGGGACGGGGAGGGAAGGGGGACCAGCGGGGACTTGGTGTGACGAGGCAGCCTGGAAACTCGCACGGTCTAACCCGCCCGGCAGAAACTTTAACACGTGCTAACTGCTCCAGACGGGACAGTAAGACCTCCAGGGGAGTTTGCAACGGGGCCATGGGCTGGGAAGGGGAGACCTCTCTTCTGCGCATCCCTTGGGCAGGCGGGGCCCAAGCTCTTTTTCACCGGAGTGCTTGAAAAACCTTCAAGGGGCTCCAAGAGCCCAACAGAGAAGGCAGGAAGGGCCGGGCACGTTCATCCGATTGATTGGATTGAGGAAAATGTCTGTGGAGGGAAAGGAAAGCCTGGTGACGGTCATTACCGCCTGCAAGCCCGCATCTGGCAGCGGAGCACGTAGCAAAAGAAAGAAAGAAACGCTGAAGGCAAAACCGCTGCTCGTTAGGCTCAATTGAGGGAACTAATTCGCTCCAGAGATAAGGCGGGTTGTTCCTTGTTCAGGGCAATATATCACAGCGGACAGCAAAGGAACCGGATTGCCTTTTAGCGTAGTCAGGAGGTGCTGAGAGCGCTGGAAACTCTTTCTGCAGGCTGGCATATTTCCTGCGAAAGTTATCTGAATAGTATCCACCAACCTCTCCTTAACCTGACTCTTCTCAAACGATGAATTCCTTTTTAAGGCCATCAGGTGCTGAATAATAAATACACCCGCTGACCGCCCACCCCTTCCCAGACAGCGAATAAACCACGGGGGGGGGGGGGGGGGGGGGGA